CTATCTATCTATCTATGTAACTATCTATATCTGTCTATGTAACTATCTATCTATCTATCTATCTATCTATCTATCTATCTATCTATCTATCTATGTAACTATCTATATCTGTCTATTTATCTATCTATCTATCTATCTATCTATCTATCTATCTATCTATCTATCTATCTCTATATTTGCTGATAGAAATAGATAGATAGATAGATAGATAGATAGATAGATAGATAGATGATAGATATAGTTAAATAATCTATTTCTATCTATTTATTTCTATGTATATCTATCTATCTATCTATATCTATCTATCTAATCTATTTCTATCTATCTATATCTCTATATTTGTTGATAGAAATAGATAGATAGATAGATAGATAGATAGATGATAGATAATAGATAGATAGATAGAGATAGTTAAATAATCTATTTCTATCTACTTATTTCTATCTATCTCTATCTATTTATCTCTATCTCTCTATCTCTCTATTTCTATCTCTATCTACCTATTTCTCTCTCTCTCTCTCTCTTTCTCTATCTATCTATCTATCTATCTATCCATCTATCTACCTATCTATCTATCTATGTAACTATCTATATCTGTCTATGTAACTATCTATCTATCTATCTATCTATCTATCTATCTATCTATCTATGTAACTATCTATATCTGTCTATTTATCTATCTATCTATCTATCTATCTATCTATCTATCTATCTCTATATTTGCTGATAGAAATAGATAGATAGATAGATAGATAGATAGATAGATAGATAGATAGATAGATGATAGATATAGTTAAATAATCTATTCCTATCTATTTATTTCTATGTATATCTATCTATCTATCTATCTATATCTATCTATCTAATCTATTTCTATCTATCTATATCTCTATATTTGTTGATAGAAATAGATAGATAGATAGATAGATAGATAGATAGATAGATAGATGATAGATAATAGATAGATAGATAGAGATAGTTAAATAATCTATTTCTATCTACTTATTTCTATCTATCTCTATCTATTTATCTCTATCTCTCTATCTCTCTATTTCTATCTCTATCTACCTATTTCTCTCTCTCTCTCTCTCTTTCTCTATCTATCTATCTATCTATCATCTATCTATCTATCTATCTTT